CCCACTGCACCAACATGAGTCATTTCAGCATGCCTTGTCCTCACTCGCTCGCTCCCCGAGTTAACTTCCCAAGGGGTCACCCATCATAAAATTGCTCAAAACCAAACACGTTTAATTGTGGAGTTTATAACGATGGACTTACGGAAAAGAAAGTGCACCTTATTGGTATTAGTAGTACCTATCAAATCTTTTAACATTTCTAGGTCTGCGTATTACAAAACACATATCCAACTAAGGAATACAACATATAATGAACTATCACACAACCTTCTCAAATAAAATATTCTTGTGATCAGGAACAAATTCAGCACCAAATTAAGGTCGGACTGATACGTAAAAAAAAAAAAAAAATAACATGTGAATTTTTTTTTTCTACCTAAAAAAATACAGTGGGCTGGGGACTGGGTCGGGCTGTCCCTTGCCCCCCACACCCGTCCCTGCTTGTGATCCCAATACACGGTATACTTAAGAGTTCAAGAATACTATTTTGAAACGAGAGCGGAGTTAGACGAACTAATATATAAAAGAAAATTGAAGAAGTTATATTTTCAAATAAAATTTCTTTGTCGTATGATTTTATTTATTTTTGTGCTAGGAGACTCCTCCATTCGATCCTCCACGGCTTGAAAGGTGACAGAGCGGATAAGGGAGATGATTGAGAATGATGCAATGTGAATAAATAAAAATGTCATTTACTTATTTATTTAATCTCTTCCAATTGAAATAAGAAATATATTTTTATTTATTCAATTAAAAGAATATATTTTCCCGTATTAGTCTAATGTATGAAGAAAATAAGTATATGACAAAGCCTCGTTTGGTAGATATTTTTTAGAATATTTTGTAAAAAGTGATTTTTTAAAATTATTATTATTATTTTGAAAAATGCTTACTTAAAAATTAAAGAATGAGAAAACTTCACCTTCCCCCAAGAACGACCCCCATAACCACCCATTCCTATGTGTATTAGATATGAACATTGATATAAGAATAATGTTAT